GTTTTAATAATGGTCTATGTACATACAGGGTCTTCATGAGTACAATTAAGTCTTCTGAATTTTCATTCGTTGTAATGTTATCCATAGTTTGTTATGATCTTCACAGTAGAATGTCTTATATAGTCAATAAAGCACAAGTAAACATCTTTCCAGTAATCTCTGCTTTCATCCAAGATTCATCTGACATCAGCAATGGTATCCCTCATTCCATATCCTCTTCTGAATACAGCTTGAATTTGTGACCGCTCCCTTTCAATGTACTGCTGCAACAGTTTTTGAATTATCTTCAGCAAAATTTTACTTAATATGATATAATGATATTATTCAAGGATTTCCACATCCGTTGCATAACCTTTCTTTGGAATTAGCACAAATATGGATATTTTCCAATCAGTTGGCCAGGAAGCTGTCTTCCAAATTTCTTAGCATAAATAATTGTATGCCTCTAGTACTATATCAGTATGAACTTGTTGACAATTTTCCATTTGTATTCCATCAATTCCTGGGGACTTGGTTTTGGCCAATGTCGTCAGTGCTGCTTGTGCTTCTTCCTTCAACACCATTGGTTTTTGATCATATGCTACCTCTTGAAATGATTGAACATTGACCAATTCTTTTTGGTACAGTGACTCAGTGTATTTCTCCCATCTTCTTTTGATGCATTCTACATCATTCAATACTTTGCCCATAAAATCCATCAATATTGTAACTCAAGACTTGAATTTGCTTTCATTTCTTTCAACTTGAGAAACGATCAGTGTGTTCAGCATTTCAGCATGATAAAAATGAAGTATAATTAAGAAAATACCTAAATGCTAGCTTACTTTTATTACATTGAAAAATAATACTTTAATAATCAAATGCCACATTATACTGCTGCGGTTATATTGATGAAATGATATATTTAGCAAAAAAAAAAAAAAATGGTAAACAACTCATAAAATTATTGACATTTGTGAAATCTACAGCATCGCATGTGTATGTTGCTCTAAAATGTTTCATCTGGTTACTATTAAAGTAAGTATGGAAGTTTTATTGAGCAATACAGTTGTTGTTGTTGTTTAGTGCCATCGAGTCGGTTCCAAACCATAGCAACCCTGTATAGAGTTTCCAAGGAGCGCTGGTGAGCTTGAACCACTGACATTGCAGTTTAAACAGCTTTGCAGTCTGGCGCATTAACCCACAGTGCCACACCAGGACTCCAAACAATACAGTAAACAAACACAAAAAAGCACACATAAATTGTTAGTGGGATTCTGCTACTTATAGCAGAAGTCATTGGAGGACTGAGTTTCATCAAAACATTCTCTCCCACTGAAAATTAATAGTTTGTAGCACACAAACAAGGTACAGGGGTCCTTTTCCAGGTTATCAAGTTTACCTTTCCTTCCCATAAGAATTCAAAGCAGGAAAAGTATAAAGGACATACTTTCTTAATAAATCTTTGAGGAAGAAAACCACAATTGAAAATTGAGAAAATGTATAGGGAGCTATTATTTGAAAACTCAGCCAATAATCCAGAATAACATAAAAGTTGGAAAATGTTCAAAGATGCCTTTGATATAAATATTCATGGTAAGTGAAAGCCAAGAACCCGACCTAAATGACAGGAGGTATTTCTTTGAAAAGTATTAACTTTTTACCTTTATTTTGACCTGTATGTTCTATGCTATTTTTGATCCTCAAAACCAAAGGCTTACAATAAATTTATTGGATAGGTTTACCAACTAGGTCAGAGCACAACTTTTTTTTTCCATTCTTTCTTTCTTTCTTTTTTAATATTGTGTTAATTTTCTCTCTTGAAACTGAGAGTATACCCCCAAAACTGAGACTCGGTGGAAATGCACGCTCGGATTGGTAAACACACACATCACCATTGGGGAGAAATGGGGTAAAGGCAGCAATGAAGCAGCAAGCTAAGCCTCACAATATTCAGAGGGCTTCTGAGGACCCAGTTTGAGGACCTGGTTGGCAAGCAGTGTGAGGAGACCCGAGGACTCCTGGGCCCAGAGTCAGTGACGTGGCCATGGAGGACTCAGTGGAGAATGGAGCTGCCCGCTGATGGGAAGAGAGGGCATGTGCACAAGAACATCCACACTTGCAGATGACACCCACGTGACCGGGACTGGATGACTGGATGATCAGAGCTCAACCAGGAGAAGAAAGAAGGGCGGGGGGGGGTGGGGTAGAAGATTAAGCTGATCCAAGCTGATGAACTTGACCTATGCATACGAATGCAGTGAAACAAAAGAGGCGATAAATCCTTACAGCAAGAAACATTCCCACCCCCTCCACACACAGAGTAGACAGAGAGGGGCAACTTGGACATTGGATACCCAAATGGGGAGGGAGGGACTACAAAGGCAAGAAGTAACTGGCTTAAAAAATTTCAAGAGGGAACCTAGAGCTAGGGGGCATGGAGGAAGGCAGAATCACCAGTGAGTACTATCCAATTTGTCTAGGTGGAGCTGATGAAATGAAAAATAATACTTTAATAATCACTACATGCGATACTGTAGTGAATAATGGTTATCAAGACGGATTGTGAGTGTTGGAAATGCAAAGGTAGATGTTTTGTAGCAAGGAAGAGAGCGATTATTTCTCCAGCCTAGGAGCGGAGGTCTCTGGGACCACCAATGGATAAGAGCTGAGAACGGGATCCCACCCAGAGAACCAGGGATGCCTGAGATGGAGACAGAGATGATGACATGGAGGGATGAAGCAGCTGGAGACTTTGGATCCAGAGAGGGAGAGGAACTGTGGGCCGAAGACTGAGGGGGGAGTGTAGAGCACAGGCTTCTAGGATATGCCCTTTGGTCGGAAGACGATGCATGGAGGGGATTAGAACCATGGCAATGTAATGATATACGATGGAATGAATATGGAACTGAGGTTTTCTCATGTAAACTATCATATAATTCACAATAAAACATTAAAAAAAAATGAGTAACTGAATTTAAAAAAAAACTGAGCATATATTGCAATGATATCTGTTGGTTTTATCAAGTCACTGTTTATTGAGATAGTTGATTTGGAAAATCTGGAAAAAGGAGAGGAATGTAAGGATTTGAAAATACAAGGGTGAGTAAAATATCAGCACTCTGATTATAGAATTGAATCAACTTTTATAAAAGACAAATACATCATTGTTTAACATAATCTCCTTGCTTTTCAATACACTGTCCATCTGTCAACACGCTATCATAATCCCTTATTTTAAAATGTTTTAGGATGAGCTGTGAGCCACTAATGCACAGCTGTCTTCACTTCTTCATCAGAGGTGAATCTTTGTCCTTGAAGAGCTGCTTTCAGGGGACCAAACAGGTGAAAGTCCAATGGAGTAAGAGCAGGATCACAGGAAGGATACTTTAACACCTTAAAATGAAGTTTTTACAAGAGTGTCAACTGTGTGGGCAGAGGTGTGTGGACATGCATTGTCCTACAAGATCACAGTGCCCTTAGATAACAGTCTCTGTGTTTAATCCAAAGTTTAGATTTTCATTCTTCAGTGAGCATCTTACTGTAATGAGTCCTGTTGATTGTTGAACCTTTTTCCTGATAGTGTTCCAATACTGGCCCTTGAGATTTCCAGAACACGTAAGCATCAATTTTCCAAATGATGGCTCACACATTTTAACTTTTTCTTGGTCAGCAACTGAGGACACTCCCATTCCATACTCTGCCATTTACTCTCAGGCTCATAGTGATGAATACAAGTCTCGTCACCAGTAATATCTTCTTTAAAGAAATTTTACCTACTTTAGGCCCAAATTTTGTTTGCAGATGGCCAAACACTTCTGTTTATGCTCTTCCATGAGTTGTATGGAACCCATCTTGCACAAACTTTTTAAAACCCAAGTCTGTCATGGATTATTTCATCAGCAGAGCCTTGGCTGATTGCCCACATAATCCACTGTAACTCATCTATTGAACAGAATAATTTCACATCATGATCAATTTTGTCATCAGTTATGAATGTGGACAGGTGTTTTAATGTAACTGAGTGCAGATAATTTTTGACATATATAGGTATTTTACCCAGAATTCTACTACTCAGAGACAACCATGGTTAGATACATTTAGCAAAATTTTTTTTGCTATATTTTTTTTCTGTAGTTTTTTGCTATAGTTTCTTTCTGTCCTTATCCTTCTTTTTCTCATTAGATTAACATAGCTATTTTGCCTTTTTAAATTAGCATTATATAACAAGCATTTTCCTTGCCATGAAATATTTTCGGCAACTTAATTTTAGTGAATGCAGAATATTCCAAAGGAAGTGGGTAGTTTTTTCCCTAATACTGGGGGAATAACTGCAATTGTGCACTTCTCATTGGGTTTATCTTTATTCCTCTAAGGAGATTCTCTGGGACTGTCAATGATAAATATTTTGAAACAGAGTTCTCGGGTTACTTAAACTGCACACTTTACAGCTCTATATGTCTGTTGTCCAATTGCCTTCTTCCCAGCAAGCTTAGGTCTATTCAGTCTTATTACACATTAGACAACATCACTTACTATTTAACTTTATAAATATTTGAAAAATTAAAAAAGAAAGACACATTCCATTTCTTAAATTTTCTTATGTTAATGAGAAGTAGGGTTGAATACTTTTTCATACATTCATTTGACATAATTTCAGCATTTGTAAATTATTTATTCAAGTTAATCTGTTGGCGAGTCTGGTGATTTCTACTGGAATACAACCATGCTCACTCACTTACATAGTGCCTATGGTTGCCATCACGCTACAATTACAGAACTGAGTTGCTACAACAGAGACCAGATGGCCCACAAAACCTAAAATATTTCCTATCTAGCCCTTTACAGAAAAAGTATGCCCACCTCTATTCCAAATAAATGTATTTTAAATGGTTTGTTAATTAATAAAGTATTTTACTTTAAAATTTTCATCCCATAAAAATTTTCTTTATTACCTCTAGGTATGTATGTTTATATATTTAAATCTGTTATTGATTTCTAGAATATTTCATTGTAGCTACTTTTCATTTTTTGTTTTTTATTTTGAAGGTTTTGCTTTTTTTTCTTGTAGACTAGCCTGCGATCAGTGTTTATAAATGTTCCATGACATTTTTAAAGAATGACATATTCACTACTTGACTTGAATAATTACACTAAATAAATCCTCTTTGTTCTCTTTGATCTATTTTATAAAATGGTATGCTAAATTATTAAACAATAATTATGTTTTTCAAAATTTATCTTTGACTTTCTAATGGTTCTAAGCATCTACATTTTAGAAGGATACCTTAACATGTTTAACGATAGCTTGGAATCATCAAATACCTTATTTTCCAAATCCAGTACACATCAATGGCCACCAAAAAGGGCCAATCCAATCCCATGAAGATCCAGGCCAGCATTTTTATTTTCCTTGTTTCCCTTCATTAAATTGAACAGAGAAATGAGACTTAAATAAACTCAGACATTCCAATGTCTGGATTTTTCTTCTTGTAAAGTTAGCAAGTGAGAAAAGAACAACAGTTCACAATAGAAGGAAAAATCATTCAAAAAGGGCAATATAAATTTATAAATTATAAAGACAGAAAGATCACTTATTTTCTTTTCCTTGTCAGAATTACTCTGCGCTCAAAATGTACGAGAAAATAGGAATAAGAAATTATTCTATACGAATGTAGTAAAAAAAAATAAATAAATGAAAGACAATGAGAATCAGGAAATTCCAACTGAAGCCTCACCACTGAGCTGTGTGATATTGGATAAAATATGTTAAACTAAAATGAAGGAAGGTCTAGCAAAGCAAGCAATAAGCAAGCAAAACCACTGTAGATTGTCCAGGTGAGGCCAAAAGCAGATGGTTACTAGGGAATGATCCAGGACAGCTGCTGGAAATCAAGACTCAGCAGAGATGTCAGCTGTCAGCACTGAAGAAAGGAGGGTCAGTGCTTACTTGGAACATCAGTTGGTGCAAGATCAAAGACCCAAGCAAAAGCTCTAGTAGAAAGCCAAAGCAAAGAGGGGATAAGATTGCAAGTAGCCATATAAGAAGAAGATACTGGTTCATGCTCACTTGAAGCTAAAAAGAGTGAAGAAAATCAGAGTCAAGGAAACAACAATTAGTCCTAAGGGCTAAAGGACCACCCAAACCACAGCCTCCAGTACCCTATGAAAATCAAAACTAGATGGTGCCTAGCTACCCAACCCATCACAATGATTGGGATCATAATAAAACATCCTGGACAGAATGGGGAAAAATGTAGATGAAAATTATAAATCATAAAAAGTATCACACTTATTGGTCAGATAGAGACAAGTTGAACTGCCAAGACTATGGCCTTTAGAAACCCTTCAAACCTGGAACTAAATCCACAGCCGGGGATCTGCTCTCAGGTGAAAAATAAACAGCCTTGTACAACACCTGAGGAACAAGGGAAAAAGGACAAACGGAAATGGCAGATCAGGAAGGAAGTGAAATATGCTACTGATACAAGGAGAGGGTCACAACTAATTTTGTCACAAAACAAAATGTGTATAAATTGTTGAATGCAAAACAAACTTATTCTTTTAACTTTCACCCAAACCATAATAAAATAAAATAAAGAAGAAAACCAAGGTAGGGACAAACTAAATGCACACAAGGATTTAGCCTGAGCCTTAGGCAGGAATTGGGCAGGGTATGAATGAGTTTGTGAGTCAGAGGAGTAAACTACAGGGTCAGGAGACTCAGACTCCAGACTATACATCTGACTCAAAATCAGGATCAAAATAAAGGTAGCCAGAAAGGTCTGAAAGGCTGTACCTATACCCTCCCAAAAGGAAAATTGCAAGTTGGAGTTTCCCTGAAGATGGCAATCTCTGTTAAGTTTAACATGATGCTGTTAAATTCTAAATTCTTATACTTAGGAAAGGGTTAAAGCTCATGATAGCCACTGTTGTATCAAGCTTCCCAAGTGTTTAGGACTTTTATATTCCATAAATCTAAAACTACACATGAAATTCCAATGCAAAAACAAGGGAATTAAATGTTTTATCACAGGAAAACAGTTTAATGGACTTCCTCCCACCACCAGCACCTTGCTCCCAATCTGGCTTTCTGCACACACATATAAATGTTGAGCCACTACCACTTAATTCGCTCTAAAAGGCAAAGTAGACTGCTTTATAGCCCTCCTGAAAAAAAAAAACAAAAAAAAAAAAAAACTGGAAGGTAGTGGGTGGGAAGGATGACATTTCGTTCTATCCTGACTCACTTAAAGACATCATTTGATTCTCAGTCACAAAGAATTCTCTTAACAGGATGGAAAGAGTCCTGGTCACGAGGAGCTTGTTTGGAGTTGCAGTGGTCCCCTTTGCATTCTGTAAGCCAAGGGAAGCATTCCAAGGTTGTGTTTCTGTCTTTCGTTCTCCCTCTAGGCTGATTTTATAGTAACAACACATAGGCACTTAAATCTACCTCTAAATAACCAACAATCGGAAAATGTATCACATAAAATATAGACATTTTACAAAGGCCATCTTTAAGATGATAATGGCACACCTGCTATGGAATGTATAAGAAAACAACAGTGACCCTCACGAGATGTCAGGTCCATTTATCCAAATCAGCTCTTCTGCAGTGGAAGCCAGATAAACCTACAAAGCATGATGCTGGTGGAGGGAGTAAGAAGAGAGGTTACAATAAACGATCTAGTTGAGGATATATATAAATCACATGAAATGCAACCTCATAAGATACTAATAGAAGTCCATGGGGGAGTGAAGGGGAATGAGACCGGGAGGGGACTGGCAACAAAGACTTTAAAATGTGATCATATGGGAAAAAGAATCTTGCAGCAACAAAAAAATTAAAGGCGGGCGAAAACAGTACGTTTCTCTTCAAATATTAAAAACATGTAGCCATGGGAGAGTCAATGATTAGCAGGTTTACGGAGGGGAGGAATTAATCAGAGTTAAAAGAGATTTCTATATTCTCCCACCCTGAGCCCTCACCCTCCCACTCTGCTCCTCTCTGCCACCCCAGGCATCCAGGCCTTTCATGATTTCTCCATTTTCTCCTCAGTCAAAAGCTAGTTAAGGAAAAACCTTACTTACCCTAAGGAATAAAAATTCAGTCTCCATGTGCTATTGGAGACTGAAGAATGGGGAAACTCTGAAGCCAAAACAAAATCTACAATTGAAGAATTTCGAAACTCAGCCAACTTTCTCTAAGGAAAATTCATTATTCATGCAATAGTGGTCTCATCCAAAAAATAAACAAACAAACAAACAAAGCCCAGTGTGGTCAAGTTGATTTGTCCTGATGTGGCTCTGTGGGTTAATGCATTGAGCTGCAAGGTTGGTTTGGATTACAAGGTCTGCAGTTCAAGTTCACCAGCCTCTCCTTGGAAACCTTATACAAGGGGGCTATGGGTTGAACCAAGACAGCACTTAACAACAACAACAACAACAACACGGGATAGAGTAGAACTCCTCCATGAGTTTCCAAGGCTGTAAATCTTTATGGAGATAGACTGCCTCATCTTTCTCCCACAGAGTACCTGATAGAACTGATAGCTTTGGTTCGCAGCCTGGTGCTTAATCCTCTGCCCTACCAGAGCTTCAGTCCCTTATATATTATATCATTATGGTGCCAGCATTTAATATGCTCCTGCTAAAGGAGCTCTGGTAGCGAAGTAGTTACGAATCGGGCTGCGAACCTTAAGGTCAGCAGTTCGAAACTACCAGCTGTTCCGCGGGAGAAAGATGAGGCTTTCTGCTCCTGTAAAGATTTACACCCTCGGAAACCCTGTACAGGGTTGCTATGAGTCGGAATCAACTCGACAGCACTTAACAACAACAACTGAAATATGGAGTTCTAGTGTGGCATTGTGTACAGGGTCGCTATGAGTCGGAATCGACTCAACAGCACTTAACAACAACAACTGAAATATGGAGTTCTAGTGTGGCGTTGTGGGTTAATGCTCCAGACTGCAAAGCCTTTTGAACTGCAAATTCGGTGATTCAAGCTCACCAGGTGCTCCTCAGAAACTCTATACAGGATCCCTATGGGTCAGAATGGACTCTATGGCACTTAATAACAACAACAACAATGACTGAACTATAGGAGGTTTGAGTTCATCCAGAAGCAGCTCAGAAGACCTGGTGATCTGCTACCACAAAATCAGCCATTAAAAATACGATGGGAAACAAACTATAATAATACGATGGAGCACAATTCCTCTCTGACATACTTGGGTTGCCAGCAGAGTCAACTTGACAGCAGCTTATAAGGTTGTTGTTAAATGCCGTCCAGTTGGTTCCAACCCATAGCAACCTTGTATAGGGTTTCCTAGAAGCAGCTGGTGAGTTTAAACCGCTAATCTTGTGGTTTAAGCCCACTTTGCAGTCCACCACATTAACCCACAGCACCACACCAGGACTCCACCTGATAAGGTATCCACTGATAAAATCCTCCGAGTTCTCTAAGCTACTCATGTCTTCATTTATGAAACTCAATTAGAAAGGTGGCACATAGTATTCGCCCATTGTTTAACTTTAAATAAATTCAATTAGAGAAAGAGAGTATACAGTGAAGGGCGGATAAAGGAAGGTAGGAGACAGGAATGGAATAAGGATTTAGGAAAGAAAGAAAGGGAAATTTCTGGTAAAAGAAATTAAATGAACTAGTTTTATTTTCTACTTAAAAACTAAGGAAATTGTAGACGGTATTTAATGGGAAAGTAAAATCAAGTTTTCAGAAAGCCCAGTCATAAAATGGGGAAACAAAACTTGATAAACATTCTACCAAAGAGGATATTCAAATGGCCACTAAATGCATGAAAAGATGCTCAACATTATTAACCATCAAAGAGATGCAAATCAAAACTACAATGAATCCAGTAGATAAGAAGAGAAGGCATATGCACAAGAACACCCACACTAGCAGATAATACCCACTTGGCCTGGCTTCAATGACTGGATGATCAGAATTCAACTAGAAGAAGAAGAGGGAAAAAAAGAATAATCTGATACAGTTTGATGAATTTGACCCACACCTATATATGCAGTAGCTCAAA